ACACACACACACACACACACACACACACACACACACAGATAGAAAAGTCAATCTTCTATATGCCCGCATATTCCCAAGCGCCTGTCATCCTTAACCCAACGTTCTCTCTCCCTCTACTCTGGAATAATGACGTGTTATCTGGATCACTGCAGAGAAAGGAAACCCACATACTGATGACCTTGATTTACACAGACACTGGTGAGTGACAGAACAGGTTTTCATGCAGTAACAGACAAGATACAACAGTTGCATGCTGACAGACAAGTGCACAAACTGGATAAAGAAAAAAAAAACAAGCAGGAATGTGACATAAAATCATTATTTTGTCAAACAGAAAGAAACAGAAATAAACATGAAGACAGAAGTGCAAGCAAGAAACTGGAACAGAAAAAGAACAAAAGTGCAGCTGCGTTTTGTCATGGAGCAAAGTTGGAGGCAGCCACCACAGCTGTTGGAGGAGTTTGTGAAACCAAATTATTGGGCAGAGACACTCGAGCGTGAGTCAAGTGCAGAGGGAGATGTCGGCGGTGAACATAAGGGCTATAAACTCTAGCGAAGTGGCAAAACTGCCAGTGCAACAGACATTTACTCTCAACTCAGCCTAAACAAGCCACCACTGGTCTCTAATGCTATTAGACAACAGACACTAAAATACTGTGAGGTTACATTTAGACCTGTTGTTGTATTTCTTTCAATCACGACAACGTTAGTGAATAAAAAAAGAATCATTCCAAGGTCAAATCAACACACTTTTGTTTTGCACCTTTAAAGATCTTAATATCATTTTGCGTATTGATTTTAGATACATGACAAACCTACGGTCATATGTGAAACAAATAAAACACAAAAGGCCAAACTCTCTGGAGGATTGGATGAAATTAAAAACTATCTTTGGTAAAAATTTGAAAATATATTTATACATGTTTTGCAATTTGAACATTAACAGTTGCAATGACTGTTATTTTCAGCAGGAAAAACGTCATTGAGAAAAGTGTGATGATTCAACACAGAATGACTCTTTGGTAAAGTGGTAGCTGGGGGAGCTGTACACATAAACAATAGTTTGAATCAGTTTTTGCAGCATATTCATCTGTTTCCACACTGAACACTTAACTACTCTCAGAGCGGTTGCAAGCCAGATGCTTCAACAGTATTAATAACACAAGAGATGGAAAGATTATCCACGATATTCACAACACAGCTCAGAAACGTTCACTGTCCACAGACATTTTAGACAAAATATTAATAACGACCACAAAGTCTGTTTTACGGAAATCTACATATAGTTTGACAAACTTACAATCGTCAAATCATCTGGTACAAAATAGATCTGACTACAGACAATACTGTTTGTGTATTTTCCTATTGGAGATCATAAGGCAACAGAAACTGAACTGAGCGTTCAATAACTCTACCAAACACAGACTTAACAATGAAGTCTACGACGAAGTCGAGTAAAGTCAAAAATGTGCAACTGGAACATCTGTGAGTTCATCTTTGAGATTAAAACTCACATAAACAGAGACAATAATAGTTTTGATCCATTAGTGTTGAATCCTAAATTGGCACTTGTGTATTTCTGCAGGGACATGGTAACACAAAGAGGGAGTTTGATTACGATAAAGCCCCTCAATGCAGCAGACAAGAAAACACTGATACACCCTTCCATCCCTCAGTCTTGCAAAGGAAACCCTGACCTAACGAAAGAGAGGGTTTAAGAGTGCTCTGATTAGGAAGTAGAATACTTAAGTGGAGATCTGAGAAAAATCCCCTGAAAGAAATAAGGTTTCATCAACAAGACACCACTTTTCCCAGTGTTTCTAATAATCTTATTTGTTCTGCAAAAGTTTGATAATAAATCAAAATGGTTTTTTACACTTGATGATAACATAATATCTCTAACTTGGTGTTTTGCTCTGTTATTGCATTGTATTGATAATGTTATTTGTGGCACAATTTGCAGCGTGTTTGCTCGTCCTTGTCATCATCCATAAAGTTTTACCCTCCATGCAGACAGCCAGACCTCATAGTTGCAGCTGCAGTTGTGCATTTACCCACAAATGGCATGCACTGTACTTCTCTCACTCTCAGGCAATCACTTGTCTTTCACTTTTTAGTTTCAGTACCTGTCACTCTGAATCTGTTGCGTGTAAGATAACGTTCATCATTGCCCATGTGCATCCAGATGACCACCACAGATTGAATGAATTCTGTGGGTAACACTGGCTTTCCCTACACCATCTGAACCCAAACTAATCCAATCAAACCATCCTGTTCATGGTCTGAAGCTCTCTCTGTGCTAACAGCTGAAAATGTGTCCACTATCCTCATCGCTGAAGACATTACTGTCCTCATCCGCCTCCTCGTCCAGCTGGAGGCTGCCAAAGGAGAACTTGTTTCTGGGTAAAGGGGAATTGGAGCCGGCCTCCACAGTGTTACCAAACATCAGGGGGCTGCTGCAGTTGGCCCTGTTCGTCTCCACCTCAGACTCACTGGACTCTGAGCCACTGGTATTGGTGCAGTCGTTTATCTGAACCGCCCCCACGTGTGTGGCACCAGCCTGCCCCAAGCGCTTCTTCCCAGGCCCGGCCCTGGACCTGCCCGGTGCCGAGAGCCCATTGGCCACCATGCGGCGCTCGAGAGCAGCCATACGCTCAGCCCGAGACAGGACAGGATGCGACTCCTGCGCTGTCAAGGCTGCTCCCTGGTCTGGTTCATCGACAAAGTGGTGGCGCATTTTATGGAGCTTCTGTAACTGCGAAGAGCGACTGGGGATGTCAAAGTGAGGGTGAGCAGAGCTGTAGCCATTCTGCTCTGCGTGACTGAGGACCGCTGCTGGATGAGAAGCGGCCGGGGCAGGAGTGGTAACAACGCTCCTCGAGCCCATCATATGTGGGACTATGAGAGGGCTGCAGCTCTGCCTCTCTCTGCTCTGAGCACTGGCGTCTGCCATGGTGCCATAGACAGGGCTTTGGTCAGACCTTTTGTATGACTGATCTAGCTTGTGACTCATGTTGAGAGGTGGTTTGGAAGGTGAAGGAGACTCCCTGTGCCACATTCTACCTGTAAAGTTTCCCTGCTGAGCATGAACATCACCGTTCACGTACTCAAACCCAGACGTTTGTTGGAGCACGGCCGTCCCCCTGTGATTCATGCTAATGTCCTGATCCCCGCACATGTTATAGTCATAATCTATATCACTCCAACCAATGTAGTGGAGGGAAGAGCTGCTGCCTTCAGCAGCTCGAGGTGGCGGACCTGCACTCTGATGTTCTTGGTGGGTCTGTCGCGTCGAGCCTCTTGTCTCCTCTGTCCTGGACACAGACCCTGTTCTCTCCTCGTGGCCGTTTCTCTGGTGGGAGGGGCTGGTTGTTCGTGAGGCGTCTTCTGCGCTCACCAACACCGACTCTTTCCAGTGACGCTGAGGAGGAGAGTCGACTCTGCCCATGGGAGGAGCACCCCTCTGACAGAGACACACAGAGGCAGAGAATTAAAGCATTTCAAGAGTTTATTGTTTCATTTATCTATTGTGTTTAAATGTGGTTACTGATGATTCTGTATGACTTGATGGTAGAGTTGTTTTGATGAGTAAGTTTGTACGTATAGGCTACACGTATGCACAAGGTGGCAAAATAGACATTTCTGCTGATGGTTTTGCTGATTTGTGGTGAGGCCAGGAGGAAGCTGATGTAAATGTGTGCGTCACCTGTCTGAATAGAGCTTAAACGTGTGGTCTTTTGTTCATCTTGATAAGGGCACAGACACGTCAAGTGCAATACAATTTAAACCATCTATATACCACTTATCCTGAAAGGGACCATGGATCCAATCGCTGCTGACATCGGGGCGAGTATCGCACAACCATTCACACAAAATGTAGACTCTCCAATCAGCTTAACCCCAAGGAAGCCTGAGTGCTCAGAGAAAAACCCACGCAGACACGAGGAGAACATGGAAGCTCCACACAGAAAAGCCCCTTAACGAAACAGGAGTTTGAACCAAGAACCTGCTCGCAGTGAGGCTAACCACTGCACCACCATGCCTCCCTACGTACTTGATAGGCAAATATAATATAAACATAAACATAGCCATTTTTTTTCCAATATTATATATATATGATCTAGAATATCTTAAATATTGTACAGTGTTGACTGTACTGAAAAATGCAAGTTTTAAAACATTGACATATGTGACAATGACGATGTAACGCGACTGTGAGAAAACTCCACAGGGGACAATAAAGGTTTTCTATGTGTAAATAGAAGCATGATAATGAGATTCATTGAGACGACACAGACTTTATGGGGCCGGCTACAGATGCACTTCAAAAGCTAAGACACTCACTTCTGTTGGCACTTCATGGTGACGCGGAGAAGGCAACGGCGACAGCCGGCTGTTGTATTGGACCCGACTGTGTTTCCTGGCAGAGAGAAGGTCGATGGTCAGTGTTAAACACTCTGAGGAACCTCAAACAGACCAAATGAGTCAAACACACACGTCTGCAGTCTTTACCTTTCAAACGGGATCTTTTTAAACTCAGACTCCTTCACATGATCAATCACCTGCTTCTGTGTGCGACCGCTGCAGAGAAGAAGCACAGCAGAGATGAAGACAATGAGCTGTAGTCGACTGTTTAAATGATGGGACATTAGGCCTGGAGACAGAGACAGAGACTCCCCCTACCTGAATCTGAAGGAGGAACCTCGTGTGAAGAGCACAGGCTTGGGTTTGGCCTTTGGTTCTTCAAAGAGGCGGAAGAAGGCGTGGTACTCGACACAGATCTTCCAGAAGACTTTACAACAGTCTCTGCTCGCCATCAGGAACTCCAGAGTGTCCTGGTATGAACTCTGGTGCAACACAGAACGTTTATTACATTTAGTGGATTCAATTTATTAAACGATTTAATTATAAAGCAACATAACTCACATTTAAATCTGGCCTCAGCTTGATGAGGAAACGTTTCCTCTTGAAGCTCAGTTTGCGAACTTTAGACCAGTTGAAGGCGTTGATCCTTGTGTGTCCCTGCAGCGAAGACAAATAAATAATCGACTTTTAATTCAGGCTTTTAAAAGAAATAACACTTGGTGGATTTCAATCGCACCCACATGGTTTGGACATTCACCTCTTACATCATTGACCTACGAACCAGTGGCACTGACCTGAATGACCAGGACGCCGGTGTGAGCCACAGCCAAGCTTAAACCCGTGCCCTCGCGATCCTTGGCAGGGTGAAGGCGAATCCCGTACATCTCCAGCCGACGCGCCACTTCTAGTAACTGATAGTCTGATTCTGAGGGTGTTTGACCTCTGCAACACAAAACACGACGATAACAAGGTTAAAACACGAGAAGAAAATCCAGGATGAGGCTGGGAATATTTTACATCTCCCTTTTCCAAGAAAAGACAAAAAAGGGTTGATCCTAATAAAAAGTGTTGCATAAGTAGCCAAAGGGTGAAAGAGATGATCATTCTGCTGTCAGGGTTTGATATGAATGAAGCAAATATGTTCACCAGGTTAGTTCCAAGATGATGATGGAATTAAATGGTGAATGGACATGTCAGAGGTATGTGCTCTACTAAGTGCTATTCTAGTTTATATACTGATATTATACAAAAGCAGTATGTCTTTTGTAAAAGACTAGAGGAGGCAGGGTGATTAAAAGAAAGCAAACATAATAGCACTAATTGTACTTGCAGGTTTTCATGCTTGAATTTAACAAGAGCAAACTGCTGCATTCATTACCCTTTCAGAACATTTTGGGAAATAAATGAAATCCTGGCTTATCATCCTCTAATTGAGGTGAAAGAACGAGTCCAAGTGGATCCAGTTTTCCTCGTGTTTATCTGAGTTTTTGGAGCAGCGGTGGAGAGAGGTTGGGGAGGGGCCGCGGACGCTAACTAACTCTTCTAATTCTTATCAGCGGACCTGTTTCCTGTGTGTGGTACTTAATAAGAGATTTAACTCGGCGTGGCATCCGAGCAGAAAGAGCCCAGTTACAGTTATCAACTAAGAAAGCCTCGGGGGAAAAAAAAGAAAAAGCGAAGCAAAGAGGGCAGTCAAATCTAATCTAGCTGCTTTCATGTAGCAGGAGCCGCCCCCTGTGAGCCCATCTCTGACACAGCTCACTGTAACACAGAGGTGAGACGAGGGTTGGCAAAGCTTTGGCTCGTACTCAAATGTGAGCACGGATGATTTTGACATTTTGAGGCAGGATGGTGGGAGGAGATCTGGAAGGTTTCCAGTGATATATTCCCAGCAGCTTGTCGCTCTTAAACTTGAGGCAGAAAAATTGTGAAAAGAGCCAAGTTCAATAACCATCTACGCTTTGTATAAGCTTCACATTAGACATCTGAGAATACGCTCTGAGAATGTGCGTTTTTAACCTTCGAAACCAGCTGATAACAGCTGTGTGAGTCATGTGGTGGGATGAAGGAAGCTTTCAGGCCTCTTTTGTTGTTGTAGGAGAAAGTCTCAAACTCCAGAAGCTGTAAAACAACTTACAAAAGACGGGCTTTTTCAGAGCTGATCTATGATAAAGAGCTGCACGGAGCGCTCCTGAGAAAGAACCCATTTATTCAGCAGCTGCTTTCCTGGAGGTGTCACCTGTATAATACAATTTCCCCAACAGGACGTGCACAAAGCCTGACGCAACTTTTCCTGTTCACGAGCAAACAGAAAAATTTGTGTTGCGCAACTGCTTCAGTGATTTAAAGAGCAGAGTTAAAGACACTGGACCCATTGAGTCACTGATTTTAATGTTGTGTACACGTCATAGTTCTTCCTGGGTTTCTTCAGGCTGGAAGACATACATGTATGCAAAGTAGACAGATATGAAGGAATATCTCAGTCCCAGAATTACTTTCAGAATTCCACATAACTGAGGATAAGGTGAAGAATTTGAGGAGAGAAAAACCCTCGAAACGCCCCATTATCTCTAAACAACAGACAGAGACAGATGCTATCCATCCACAGCCAAGCCCAGTGTACGGAGATACATTCTGACTGGGGTGTTTGTAGACTCAGCGATCAGTTCCATGTTGGTCTGATTTGTAGTTTTATTCCAGCATGCTAATATCTGTATCACATTTTAAACTGTGCATTGCAGCAAAACATTTATCTTAAAAAATCTTTAAAAAAAAACACATTTTAAAGCTCAACAGAAGGATTAAATGAATGTCAAGATAATTAAAGTCATACGTAATACGTCAAAAATATTGAAGACATTTGACGGCTTCTAGAAACTCACATATTCTTTGAGTGAAACTCCATGATCTTGTCGATCAGGGGCATTTGATCTGGGATGTAGTTGTTGTTGAGGAGGTGTGACCGGCACTGACTCTCCTCGAAGTCCCCAATCTCAGCTGAAAAAGAAAATATTATGAAACATTATTGTAAAAAATACCTGCTACAAAATACTGGCAGGATCTAAAAATATACTTTGAATCTTGCAGTGAACCTCCGCTGCAGCTTCAGCACTGCTTGGCACAGAATGAAACGCCATTCGTCCAATAGATATTTGCTCATAAAAACATAGCTGTGGTAAACTGTGTCAACATGAATACGTGCGTATTCATAAGTTTAACTGATCTCCATCTTCGTTCATGTTGTTTTTCATCACTATTGAATAACAGACTGAGAAACGTCAGGTTGAAAAGTTCTCAGTATTTCCTGGCGTGGCACCGTGAGGCTGCTCTGAATCAGTTCTGCAAGATTATGTCCAGGCAGCTGACTGAAAGGTATCCATAGAAACACACACAGGATCTGTAGCAACGGAATACGTTTGACGATAAACTCTGTCGAGGTTTTGGTCTCTTGAGCTAAATGAGGCACTTACACTGGATAATGTGGGAGACCATCAGTGCTGCACTGCTGTCGTTGCAGGTCAGACGTCCACAGGAAAGATCCTGTTTGATCTGGAGGGCAAACAGGTACCTGGACACAGACACAGACTGCTTTAACAAGGTGAAACAGGGCAGATGTGGCTGAACTGTCCAGCAAGAAAGCACAATAAAAACAAAAACCTCTGGATCAGATCAGAAACGACATCTACCACTGAATCTAAATGAACTGCTGCAGCTAAAGGTCTGAATAAACACAATGTGCTCCGGCTCTTTTTATTGTGCACAAAACTTTTAGTCAAATAGAGTTGGCAAAGTGCACATTTTGGATTCAGTAAGTAATGAAGTCATTTCATGAGTCTGTCTTGTGCTGCACTGCTACTTCTCTTGGATCAAAGCCAGAGCGAGACCCAATAAAGTCGGAATAACAGGCTCAGAATTTGTTAAAATGATAAAAAATAAAGTAGGAATTTAGAATTTTGCATTTGTTGGAAAGTGGAGAGGCAGATAGGAAACAGGCTGAGAGAGAGATATGGGATGACATGCGACCAAGGTTCCTCGCTGGACTCAAACTGTGCATGTTATGTGTACATAAAACAGAGAAACCAAATAAATCCACACACTGAAGAAGAATTGAATATCCTCAGAGCGCTACCATACACAAATATACCCAGAGAATTTTTGTATATCAAATACTAATATCATCAAGAATCCTTCAACACATTGCTTTCTATTTGCCTCTTGAAAACGTGTCATGACCCAGCTCCACAAAAAGCTCTCAGACACCAGGGAGTCATTAGTGCCCCACTCATCTGCAGAGAGCTGAATCTGAAACATGGCAGCCATGACATGAGAATTACAAAGCCGAGGAGGGAATAAATCTTATAAGAACCAGAGCGCATGTTTCCTATGCGCTTCCACAATCGCTTCCACTCACAGCTGAAGTCATTTCCTCTGACATATCCTATGTAAATAGATTTTTCAATAAAAGCCAATAGGGAATATGCGTATATCATGTAGAGATTTCGGTAAAAGAGGAGCTCACCTTGTCAGCTCCTCCAGTAGCTGAGCGTGGTCTGGAGGGAAGAACTTCACGGCAAACCTCAGGATCATGTGCTTCGGCCCTAGTGTTGTAATAACACACAATATAATACTTTTTGTTTGTTTCATTGATTCATTGAAAGAAGATGTGACAGCATTTTGAAACACTCACGTCTGAGCTGCTTGATAATGGGCTTGATGTGATCCAACCAAACCTGTAGCAAAGAGAAGAGACTTATATAGTATTCTGAGATGCATAAGAAGAGGCTCCATTTCACTTTCATTTTCCTCCTCACTCACCATCATCTTTTGATGGTTCTGAAACTCCAAGCCAAAGTAGTCGCCCTCGATGAGGTTCATGTGGGAACACACCAGGTCAAACAGCACTTTGCCTGAGGCTTTTTGCTGTGAACAAGAGGAAAGAACAGCCCAAAATTCTGGTTAAAATAAAGTTTTTATGACCACATCTATTTTTAAAGTGAACTTTTGTTCCAGTCAAACAGACACAGTGAAATTTAATACTCTTTATTTAAAAGAAACCAGACTTCAGGAAAAAGATTCTGACGCAAAGGAGCAGCCAGAAACAAAAGAGGGTTGGGCGTTGTGGACCTGTCAAACTCTGTGGTCTCTGATTTCAACAAATAGATGACGGCTCTGTCGGTTTAAATGCTGTGTCCTCCCTCCTTCTGTCCTGACACTCAAAACCTCAGTTGGCTAAAACCTGCTGCAGCTGGAGGGAGGGTGGGCCCTTTATTTGATCTGTCTTTTCAGAGTCACTGATGACGGACCGGCAGGCTTTAGAGGATGATACAGAATCAGAGATAAAGAGGGAGTCTCTCCGACCACCTCTGTCCTCGTTTACCCCACACGCAAGCACACACATTTAAAAGTACGATTCAGCCGCAAACTTTTTAACAAACTACAACCAAGATCCGAACACAAAAAAAAACAGAAACCACCTCAGAAACGTTTCCCATGTAAGGTCACGTAAATGTCAGGGATCTCCGCAGAAACAACCTCTGTTCCACTCTCCCTGAGGAAACACAGAGCTCTGTCAGCCACACAGCAGGAGAATTTCTGCCTGGCCGCTTCCCCCCGTGACTGGTCTGCACCAGCACAGAGCGCAACACAGGAGTGTTTAGAGTCGCAGTTTGGGTAATGAACCAGTGCTGTGTCTGAGAGGGTTTCAAGGAAGCAGCTTCTACTTTAACGCAAACGGAGAGTCGGTTTCTTTGGCGCACACACTAATACAACATGTCTCCTCACGCAGCTGAACTGTGCTGACATCCCAGTGTAAATCTGTGTAGTTTTAAAGAACGACACTGTCTGTGTTCCTATTAATGCTGAGAGAATACAAAGTTAATCTCCAACAGCTTAGTGAGGGGGTTTTACACTTTCACCACGGAATCCATAATCTTCCCCAAAACATGCCTCCCCTCTCTCACTGCTCCTCCCCGCTCGAGGCGCTGCCGTCTCTCTCCAGGCCGCCTAAAGCAGCGCAGGAGGCGTCCAACCACTGAGGACCAGCTGTTTCCATATGGTGACGGAGCTGGTGAGGGAGGCCACAGAGAGGCTGGAGGGGGCGAAGAAGTCATCAGACAAAACACACCCTTCAAACACACTCACACACACATGGCTTTCTAATGAGGTGCTGCAACTAGCGGCTGAACCAACCTGCTGAATGAATTTCTACAGTGCGAGCAAAGCAAGTGGAGCAAAGAAAACAAAGCTGAATGCAGTGGAGGCTGCAGATTGTTTCTCTCTCGCTGGAGCACGCTCACATGCAGCCCTATAAATCTGCAGAGTGAAATGACCACGAGCCAGAGCAGAGATGGGTATAAGGCTGATTAGAGCCAGGCAGCGCTTGATTAAACGCAGATGTTGCAGGCCGGAGTCGGAGGGCTGGCGTTTGACGCTGCCGCAGCCGACACGACGAGAGGGCTGTTGTTCATGAAGCACAAGTCACAGAGAGCGCCGGCCATCATGACACACCCAATCAGACGACAGTACACAACACAGTCACCACACTAAATTCATCTTTCTTTATTTTAACTAAGAAACGATGAAACCTGGAGTAAAGTAAATGTAGTCTGGTGATCCAATATAACAAATTACGTAACACATGGAGAGAACTAGATTCCTCTGCCAGAGCCCAACAGCCACCGTGATGAAACCACATATAAACTTCACTCAGTCCTGACTTTTATTTGCATCTTCAACAAATTGCCCACAAATATCAGTCCAATCTGGATCTGCCCCAAAATTGAATGAGGTCTTCCACTTCCTTTCGTGATAATCCAGCAAGTCGTTTTTTTCCTAATCCTGCTGACTAACAAACAAACACAGATAACCATCAGCGTTAATCTGCTGCTGTAACAGCCTCTTCTGGAAATGCTTTCCAAGATTTTGCAAACAGGCTGCAGGGGCTTGATCTCAACAAACTGTTTCTTTATAGACCTGTCTTTGTGCACAAGTGGAACATTAATGTCGAAACAGTCAAACATATTCCCCAAAACTATTACAACACTGAAGGTACACCATTCTGTATTGAGTGATCATTGTCTGCTGCAGACTTATGGTTTATCTGAAGGCTGTCCGCCTCCAAACACTGCAGGACACTCTTTTAATAAAATCCTATTGGACCTTTCTCATTTTGCGACACTGACATACAGCAGTTACTAACTGCTTAATGACTCATGCCCTGGGTTCGAGCGTAAACAAGTAGTTGGACATAATGTTGATGTCAGTTATAATCAGACTATGCTCTGTATCATGTTTTGGAATATTAATGGATCATTCAATTAGCAACTCAACATCATAATCAAAATAATGTCTTATTCAGAATAAGGTCAATAATCACAATATTGGGGTCCATGTAAACACAGTCAGTGTCACACAGAGTCAATAGACACCGACATGTCTTCTGTGACATGTCAAAATGTTTTCTGTGATAAATGGTCTATTGTGTCTTTTCTTAAAGGCATCACAGCACTTATCTGTGCAGCCACGACGTCTCCTCAGGGGGCCTGCACTGAACTGTTAACACATCAGGACTCACACAATAGCACATTTTATTGATAGCTGGTAATAGCTGCCAAATGGGACTGGTGAATGTTTTCAAACACAATAGAAAGGACGGAGAGCCAGGCCAGCAGATGTGTGAGGCCCTGAGATAAATGCTAATGTCAGTGTGCTATCAAAATCAAACCCTGATAACGGCACTTAATGAAATGTTAAGAAAGGCATCACAAAGTTATTAACATTCATCCTGTGGGGAAGATAAAACTCAAACGCAAAATCTTATAGCACAAACAAAATTCCAGAAAATCTAACCAACGTACATTCCAGGCTTCAAGAGGAACTTCAACTACCTGTTCATTTGGATTGATGACAACTTGTAATATTATGACCATCTTCTCAACCACGAATTTAATCTTGTAATACACCTCAAAAGATAATTGTACATATTTTACCTTGTTGAACTTTTTATATATTATAGCACCAGCAGCAAGACTGTGTGATTTCCCTGCTCATCTAGACTATAAAATATATTATAGTGTTCTCTGTAACAACAGTGCCTGAATGGAGAGACTGTAAATGCTGACTATATTTATCAGCATGTGAACTTTAAATTGAAATTAAAAGCGGGAGTCCCACAATCCCACAGAGCAGACGTGAGGCCTCTCCCTCAGCAGAAAGGTCACAGCAGCTGGCATTTCTTCCATCATGTACAATTCCAATAAAATATCATCAATGTCCTCCAGAGTGAGGCCATACATCCTGACGCACGGGGGGAGTGTCTGTCTGAGCTCATTCGGTTTCGACATAGGCTCCTAGAAAGCTACTCCTGTTTACACGTCTATGAGCACTAGCTCTGTTACGCTGACCTCTACATGCTGTGACAGGACGAGGCTAAATAAAGATGACAGCGACGTCTGCACACATGTACGCTTAGGTTTCCACTCGAGGGTATAAACCAAATGACCACCCCCACCCTTATCCTCCCCTCAACCCCCGCCTCTTGTTAGCAGGCTCCTGTCAGCAACCAAAACATAAAGGTCAGGTGTAAAGCAGCTTTGTGTTCCCTGGGTTGCTCCCCCTCCAGGAGCTGTTGGTACGGTCCACTTCACTTGCGATATGCCAGGGGAGGCAGTGCTCACCAAACTTCTCCGGGGGCAGTGTCGAGGGTGGGTGTGGTGGTAAAGGCTGGTGGCACTGGCTTTGGAACAAAGGGGATGGCGTCTGATTGGTTGCAAAGCACTAGAGAAGTCAATGATTGTTTTTGAGCCGAGTGGTCAGCCGTTTTTTAAAGGAGACAGGACAACTTAGTTTTTTTTCTTCTCCTGAGCAGGCGCTTGCGGGTCCAGTGCAGATTCTCTTATACATTATATAACGGAGCAGTCACAGCACGGCAGGAGGTTTTCAGCTGTGACATTCAGCCACATCACAGGAAGTGGATCAAGGTCTGGTGATGAAAGAGACTGTGGAGAAGTTCGCGTTCGGGGTCAAACTATCAGCAGTGCTCATCCGATAAGATGGAAAAAAAAAGGCTGAGGCAAAAAAAAAGTAATTGGATTGACTTTAGGAAAAATTTCATTGGATGAAGTTCCACAAGTCCCAACTCCTACATAGATCATGTGAAGAAGAAGTCACAGTGGAAAATACCAGGAATGATTTTAAATTCTTTTAAGTAGAACCATGACACCAGTGACAGGTTGATATACACTCTGACACTGAATCCTCATGACGCTGTCATTAAAAGATATGTGAAGCCGCCACTGTGTGTTTCTGTGGCTTCTGTTGATATTTAGCAAGAGTAAAGATAAAGTGACTCAGAACACACAAACATACATGTATCTGTTCTATTTCTGTGTACATCTTCTTATGGTCTTACCAGTAGATGATTGGTAGGGGGACGAGTCCCTTTAAACCAAAAAACACTTTAATAATCTGGGATTTCTGCCATCCACACTCAGCCACTCCCCTAAGAGAGCGAGTGCTACATGCAGATAGACAATTTGTATGTGCAGGTGAGCATCCTATAGTTTCTGCAGCTGATTAAATCACAGCTAATTTCTAAAAGTTGAGGCAATGGCATCGAAAAGAACAGGAAACTAATTTCCGACATGATTTACACAACATATTGGACCGATCCACTTTTCTTCCTCTAATATAATGTATCGTCTAGTTTCCACTGTCAAAGCACATGTGGAAATCTGCGGATGTGCTGCGGATGTGCAGCTGGCACGCGTGTGTGCATGAGCATATATAATGTGCACTGTAAGGGAAGCATAAGACAGAGAGGTCAGTGGCAGCTAAAGCTCATTGAGATTCAGGTCATGTGCTGCAGAGGTTCCCAGGGTGACTCGACTACAGCGGGAAGCTGACAAAGAGAGAACAGCGTA